TATATATATATATATAAATATTTTTTTAGCATGCATACCTTTTTCCAGCTGCCAAGGTCACAAAACACACAGGGTCCTCTTGTTCCTTTTCTTCCCCCTTGCAGTGTATGGTCTTTACTTCTGTACAAAGCATTGCTCACGGAATGACATGTGAGCCCTGGTCTGTATAGCAGTACTTTGAGCCCATGGGGATGTGATTAAGGAGCCTGAGGGGCTGATTCCCTGGGCACAAAGGAAGTTGGTTGAATGACGTTGGACAGAAGCAGCAGGTGTGTGTGGTGAGTCTTTGGGGGGCAGTGCATGGGTGGAGGTGAGTATTGCAGTGAAAGCTGTGTGTTTTTTTTGTTTTATCTAATGCTGGACAATATATTTTTTTATTATAATGGGGAGTTGGGCTTTAATGTACAAAATCAGGTTTTAGCAACAAATGTGATTCTATGCTTTCCATAGTGCCGAAGCTGTGTTTTGTACATTGATTTAACAGTTGAAGGGTTAAGATATTATTCTTTTTTTTATTTTTTTTTATAACAATGCGCAAAGTAAAGCAAAACAAAGTGTGTCCTCTCTCCCACAACTGGCCTGGCACAGCACATCAGGCATGCAGGTTCCCTCAGCAAGGAGGCTGTGAGTGCGTGGCCCACTGCCATGCCATGCAGATACAAAATACCCACGCAGAGCCGGATTAAGAGAATCACGAGCCTGGTGCTGGGGATTTTGGTGCGCCTTTTGTCAATGGGAAAATGTCAATGGTCATCAGGGCCCTCTTCCTCCTGTCCAGGCTGTGATTTGTAGTCTCTCTACAGCTTGGAGTTAGTGGCTCCAAATCCCAGCAATACATTTATAAAGCAATGCAGAATGGCAATGGCTATAGAGGACTTTATCCCAACAATACATTGTTAAGCACTACAGAATAATACCATCAACTGTAGAGGACTACAAATCCCAGCCATACTTTATAGAGCAATGCAGAATACTATGAAGCTACATACTCTGTGTTGCTCCGGGTTCATGACCTGATGTCTCAGGGGGGCTGCGCAGGGTTGGTTTCAGGGGGGCTATGTAGGCTCTCAGGAGGCTGTTAAGGCCCGGTTTACATATTCTGCAGCTGGTTTAAAAATTGCAAGACCAATACCAGTTTATACAGAGCAAGAAATAGTTTGCCTGTAATTACAATTCAGGGACTCTCATTTACTCTATTTTTTTTTTCCTAGCTAAATGAACTTGCAGAAGTTTCTCCTCGAACGTCTGGGGATTTTACAGACACATCACTTAAAGGAATGAATTTGATTACATGTAATCTTTGTTGTAATTGCAGGATGAAATTGCATATGTGTTCTCCCACCTTTCCATAAATTTGAATATATTGGATTTATGAAATGAGTCTGCTTTATCCCTTGTTCCTCATTAATCACTCGTATTTCAGCTCTGATTTTTGACTAGGAACATATTAACTAATTGTCCAATCTCTAATTAGCGTACTTTCCCAGACTCTGAAGAGATCTGAAATTGAATGGCTAAGACAAGACCTCTTCTGTTTGGCTTGTATATACATAAAAAAAAATAAAAAAATAGCCATATATGTTCAATATTCGCAGCATTATTTTGAAACTAGACCTGAATTCCAGATTACATAACAGGAAATATTACTTAAAAAAGACCAATCTGTCTGATAACTAGATATGCCGATCTTTTTGCATTATGTCATTTTGCTTTACTTTACTGTTGCCCGTGTACATGTTAAGGCATCTATAGTGCAATGATTATGCTATGCGTAACACATTTTTTCTTTTATAGAAAATGATACTTAGTCTGACTGTTGCTGCTTTATTTGACAGCATTGCTTATGTTATGGTAAGTTTTTTTTTTTAAATTTCATTTTGTGGGTATATTTAAAGAGTTAAAATGTGAATGGGGCTAAGTGTGTGGCAGTGTCATTAAAGGGACCAGGCAAGACAATGTTGTGTTTGGGTTTTCTGATTTTATAGTGCAGATTAAACAGTTCAACAACATGGTGGTGGCCCAACACAACTGTACAGCAAAAATAAGGCACGTTCCCGGTTATGGTAGAAGACAGTCCCAAATAGGCACGAATGCACATTGCCCCTGCACCTGAATATCCTGAATATGTTTGGTTTTAGTCATAATGGCATAATGTTTTGTTTGTTCATATCTTTAACTGATACACATACACACACATATAT